AAATGAACATTATGTGAAGGTTTTAATTGTATCTTTTAATCTCATATCAGAAGGGGGGAGTTTGAGGTGTCACTTTAATCTGCAGAGGCTGCATCTCAAGTTTGGTTAAAACTGGGAAGACCTCTGACTCTTGCTTTTACTGGGGATCATCACCAACCCTTCTTCCTGCCCCAAAACTTAAGACTTTTCTCGTTATCCTGAACTGGCAAAATTGAGTGAACATGTTTACTTCACTTAGAGTAGTTGGTTTTGCTAGATAGAAATGTCATTATTGAGTTTATTCTAATGTTGTCCCAGGTAAACATCACGTGATCATCTGGCTGAGCTCCATCAGCAGCTTTTCCTGTGGAGTAACTAATGTGGATCTCTTCTTACTACTCAGGCACTGATTTTCACAGAAACATGAAACTTCCCAAACCTATATATTAAAAGTCTTTCTTAACAAAATGTGGTTGAAATAGGCAAAGAGGTTTAAAAGTTCTGGATAAGGGGGTGATAAAGAAAAGGAGAAAATGGGAAGGATGGAGTGACAGACAGGATGCTTAGAATGATTTTGGTTTTCCTGTTGGTGAGATCACTGGCAGGCAAAACTGGATGATGATGATTTACAGAGGTGGATTTAATGTCCTGTGAAAAAATTCACTCTGACATGTCCTTTTCTTAACTAAGAGCATGCTCCTAGTTTGGACCATTTTACTGAGTGTGTTTTACTACATCTTATTGTTTTAAAGCCGGGTTTCTAAAGCTGACTCACATCTCCCTCAAACGCTGTCAAGGTCAATATGTAGTGGTGAGATTTTACCTGTCATAAAGTCAGTCCAAAGCAGATGCAGTCTTGTGTCCTGCGGTGATGTAAGGAATCTGTGCAGAATTTATGAATTTTATTTGATACTGAGGGTTGTATTTTTTTTACCTCAGACTGGGAAGTCCAGGATCCCAAGGCTTCTTTGTAAAGTAGAAAAGTTGAAGTGTTTGCAGAAGGAAGAAGATAAAATAGCATTATTTCTCTTGTTAACCTCAACTTCCTCCAGCTAACCTGTCTCTGCTCTCCCTTATTTCTTTCAACCAGGATAACATACTGTGCTGTACTTCCTGGGAATCAGGCTGGCTCTTGCCTTTACTCACAAAAGGGGCATGTTTGGCTCTGCCTGCTGTCTCCCATGAGAAGCTTAGAAGCAAAAATTCATTGCCGAGTAAAGCTATTAAGGAGCAGGGATTTTTTTCACATTCATGCAAAGTTCTGTCTACATCCAAAATTACCATGCGCACATCTGAGTCATACTGGTTTCTTTCCTGTCTTCTTCCTCAGCCCTTCTGAAACCTCCTTCTGACAATTTGACCTATCTTAATGAATTTCAAATTGTTTTTTTTTTTTTTTTTTTTTTTTTTAAGTAAAATCAGGAGACCAGAAGTCAGGTCTGTTTACATGGGTGAGGAACTCTCAGCCAGCTCAGATTGCTGGTATTCAGCACTGAGCTTATGGGCTGAGTCGTCCTCCGTGGTTCTCGCTCTCCTGAGGAGCACTGTCAGCCAATACTCCTCAGTAAACAGAAAGCAAACAGCCTTCTCACCTTTGCTGGAGGTGAGACAACTCTCCTTGTACAGAAGGGTTTTGTGAAAACAAGGTGGAAAAACAGGAGGGGATTTATGGTTTTTTTCGCTTTTGTTTTAAGCATAGACCTTTTTTTCCTTCCTTGCTTCCGGTTGGAGCAAGTCCAGAGGAGGCCACAAAGTTGGTCAGAGGTCTGGAGCCCCTCTCCTATGAAGAAAGGCTGAGAGAATTGGGCTTGTTCAGCCTGGAGAAGAGAAGGCTCCGGGGAGACCTTATTGCACCTTCCAGTACCTGAAGGGGCCTACAAGGAAGCTGGGGGAGACTTTTTACAAGGGCCTGTAGTGACAGGACAAGGGGTAATGGGTTTAAATTGAAAGCAGGTAGATATCAGGAAGAAGTTCTTCCTGGAGAAGGTGGTGAGGCACTGGAAGAGGTTGCCCAGAGAAGCTATGGATGCCTCATCCCTGGAAGTGTTCAAGGCCAGGCTGGATGAGGCTTTGAGCAACCTGGTCTAGTGGAAGGTGTCCCTGGCCATGGCAGGGGGGTTGGAACTAGATGATCTTTGAGGTCCCTTCCAACCCAAACCATTCTATGATTCTATGATTCCTCTACAGTGAAGATTATGGAAAAATATTCCCAAGAGTAATAGGGGTAAGAAGAACAAAGAGACAGTGAAATAAATATAGCAGTGACTTCCTACAACAACTTGTATTAAATACTGCACATGAGTGTTTCTGGGGCAAGAAAGTGCTAGGACACACATGGTTTGTTTGTGATAAGGGAATACACTGGAATCATTCAGGAAATATTAAAAACTGAGTCATTAATAAACAGGAAATGCAATATAATTAGGCTAAATGTCATTATGCAAACAGTCATTTCCCCAAATAAACCAACAGCCACTAAAAAAAGCCCTACTGCAGTGTGAGGGTTGTAAGACTTGGACTTGAAAATGAGGAGGCAGCTCCAAAAAAACCTCAAGTCAAAACACAACAATAGAATCAAGTTACTGAATTAAGTTTTGATGTTTTGAATATTGCTTGGTGTTCTGAAAAGTTTCTTTTCAGAGAGGGTGTTGATCTGTGGAAACGCCTCCCCATGACCCAGAACCTCACCTGCAGCCTCCAGACTTTCTAGCTGTGTTTGGAAGTGCCTGCACAGTGCTTTGTTTAGACTTGCTGATTTGATTGAAAATCCCCGATTTTGTTAACTTCACCTAAATTGGCGTGTATCACCAGACAAGATTGTAAAAAATGTAGAACAAAGAGCTAGCAAGGAACATATAAAGGTAAGTTTCTAATTATGTGTGTAAATGAAGTTACGAAGTGATAATGAAATCTAAAACTCAATCCTGGATTACAGTTAACAAGACTCCTTGGTTGCAGGCTGCTCAGTGCTTATCATCTAGAGCTAGATGTTCCTCCTGGAGCGTTTACGGAACCCCTGGACAGGGCTGCCTCTCCTGGTCTTGGCCACTTGCAGAGTCTTTTAAAAGAATCCTGCTTCCTTCACTATAGACAAAGTATTTGGGGCTTAACTGGTGAATTGTACCTTTCAGTAGTCAAAATAATCAAGGGTGCCTATTGTAAACTGCTCAGCTTTCCTGTCCCAGCAGACAGGTATTTTTGTGGTAGTCATAAACAGTTTCTCCAGCTCCGTCTGGCACAATATGTGTCCGATGACATACTACGTATTATGAAGGCTGTTAATGTGTGGCAGGTTTTGGCCTCTGTCCTTTGTTATGGTCTCAGCCGTGTGTGGAGACCTTAAGTGATGCACTGCCATTAAAAATGACAGGGGGTGCCTGGCCCAGACTGCCTTCCTTCTTCTGCTTACCATGTACAGTTTAGACCTCCTTGTATCGAAGTGAGCCACTCACTTTGGTGCAGGCTGAGAAAAGATGTAGTACATTTGGTAATTTAGAAGTGATATAATACTCTTCGTCTTTTATTGTGGATTTTTTAAAAGAAGAGTGAGAGAGAGCGCTCCTTTTTTTTATGGAGATGGGAGCCCCTTCAACCTTGTGTGCATTATAGGTCCCTTACATGCCCAGAGATAAAGGAGGAAGGAGGCAAAAAATGTAAAGATTAAGAAAAAAACAAATAGTTAAAATTTAAGAAGCCAGTTTCAGAAAAATGGAGGTAAGAAAGTGAAAATACACCCACTCTTTGAAGAAAGATGTGTAAATTTTGCTAAGTAGAACATCTTCTAGAAGAGCTGAGAAGGTGCAAAGAAGAGTTAATAATGGAAATATATGCAAAACATGTATATGCAAGCCTATGTCTAAGAAGCAGGACTTTACAGAGAATCAATGAGTTTGGCAGACTTGAAACCATCCAGAAGAACACTGGTATTGTGAAGATAGCAATTGCTCAGTTTTCACCATGCTGAATGTTGGGGTGATGCCTACTGTTTTCGGTGCTTAAAAAAAGCACGGCTGTTTCTAGATAGGACATTGAAATAAGCTGATAGGCTCACAAGCAGTGTCCCAGTCAGAGTAGTATATTTACAGAAGAGCTGGGTCAATTGAAAAGTGAAAGCTGATGCTAAAATTATTTATTAAAATCATGAAGTCTTGGATGTAGAAGGGTAGCAAGCATTGTCTTCCAAAGTGATGCTCTCAGTTCTGCTGAGAATAATTGGCATCTTGCTGTGTAGTATCTGATACTAGCCGCTCAGATAAAATTATTAAACTAAGTGGATCACTGGTCAGTCTGACAGTCTGGGCATTAAGGAAGAAACAAGCCTGAACAGTAGGAAGTGGAACATTCCTGTGTTTTGAGTTAATCTTGTTGAACTAATCTTGTTCTTCAGCACGTGGTAGATGGAACAGATTATAGAAATCTGCTTTCAGAGAATGCGTTTTTTATGAATAGCTCTAGAAATCTTAATTCTTGTAATACATTGAAAGCAGAAAGCTGTATAAAATGAACTGGTATTGAGCTTTGCGTAGTATAGACTGTCAGTAAGGTTTCAGTCAGAGCATCATAAACATGAGTTTTGAAATGCGTGTCTGACCTCCTGCCTTTTCAGAAGTGAGAAAGAAGTTCTCAGAAAGTGTTTCTTTCTAGAAACAAAAAGTGGAGGCATTGTGTTGTATGTAGAATATATGGAAAAAGCCTATATGATGGGAAATTGCTGATGGCAGATGAAATTTGGTTCATAAGTAATCAAACTTTGAATTAGAAACATGAGCAAATTGCTCTAATGTATGCTAGGTTTTCCTTTCACATTAAGTATCTTTTTGAAAGATTGGTGTTACGGGTAGGGTACTCTAAATATACCTTGCATTTCTGGCAAAACAAAATTATCTGTGACTTCTGCGGGGAAAATGTGAAGAGCATTTTTCATCACAATGCTATGACACATTCTAATATTTATTTGAAACAGATTTTAGATATATCCTAAGAGAATGAAAAAGTTGTGGATTTTTTTTTTTTCTTTACAGCCTTGCTGATGCATGGGAAAATGATATTGGAGTTCATCCTTTAAAGTTTCCATCAGAAACATGTTTAGAACTACTGCTGATACTGGGTTTGAGTACTGCCTCGCTGCCACCTTCACTTCGATGCCTGAACTCTTTTCAGGTAAGGAACAGCTGCTATTTCAGTATAAAGGTGTTGCTTCTAGGAAAAAGAGAGATCCCTGGGGCCTATAAACCCTTTCAGAGTGAAGGTTTGTCTTTTGTGGTTGCATGACTCTCCATTATATTAAATATAGCAATGGAGAACTGCTTGTAGTGCTCAGTTTCTTCCAGTTGATTTAAATGTAGACTGAGGCAGGAAATGTCATTGGATTTTTAAACTGTGAATCACCATTTAAATTAAATTATTTATTTAAAGGAATTTCATCAGAATTAGGCTGGAGTAGCCAGTATCATTGATTTGTATTTACCATTTGTCTGAAAGTGTACAGTTTTTACAGATTAAATCCACAGACTTCTCAATTCACGATGATACCACATATCAACTCAACTTTTTTATGACACTTCTGTCTTCCCTTGTAGTTACATAGCCCATCAGTTGTGTGTTGATGCAAATCTGAATGAACCAGCTGTTGAGCAGTAAGCATACCTGAATTGGCATTTGTTATGACAGCTATGGAAGAATCATCATCTTAGTGAGACTGAGTGTCCTAAACAGCTTATATGTGAAAGCTTCTGTTTGTCCATACTCCCAGTTTGTAGTTAGGGCACATTTAGTTAGTCTTCTTGAGTTATTCCTACTGAAAAATAACTGTGTATAATTTTGGATCCAGAAAGAACATGGTTATAAACAAAAATCAAGTAATTGATTTTAATAGACTTACACTGACATATAACTGCTGAAAACATGTCTAGATGTTAGGAAGTAAGTATGCACCTGTATTGTCTGCTCTCTTTGCCTCTCGTGAGCTTGGAGACAGGGGATCTGTGTTTGGTGAACTCTCGACTATGGCAGCAGCCATTGATTGTTATGATATTTTAAGACCCAAGCTCAGAATTATTGTTGGGTTATATGTTTGGAGGCTATAAAATTAAAGAATCTCTTGGATGCTGGCAGAGTGAGATCCCCAAAATTACAAATTTCAAGGATTGGCTAGTACAAGTTATTCATGCAGCTGAATAGTCCATGTTTCTTATTAAGAAGTGAGCATTTTAGTTGTCTGATCCAGGAGAATGTATTCCTTGTCCATTACATTGACAGTCGTCTGTGGTAAAGTCTTCCCTGCTTTACTCTTGTTAGATTAAATAGGAGTCTCCTCTTGTATGCTGAGGCTGTATGTTCTGTCTTGTTTCTGTTCGTACTCACAGGCTGTGCACTTAGGATTTCCTTTGATTTGTATATCTGGGGAGGGATACGAAGTGATAAATGGCTGTCAACTGGTGCAGCCACGAATCAGTAAACTCAAGAAGGGTTTTAACCTCACAGTACATAAAACACCAGGCGCTTTTCATGATTGTGCTTGATTGCTCCTTGGTCGTTTTAGCTTTCTGAGGCTGTCTCTGGAAATGAACCATTGCTGTAGACGCCCACCATGCAAGACCTGAAAGTGAGTCATGGGTCAGCCATGGGGCAGGAAGGCCCCATTCATGCGTCCCCTTGAAACCCTCTGACCATGGCCTTTCAAACTCAAATTTCAGTAGAAGGGCTGAAAGCAAACATCACAGTGCTTTGCTGAACTGCAGTGCTGTGGGGGACAGCTTCTTCCAGCACTGGCCTGCACAGATATTAGTTTTCCCACCTCTGTGCCAAAGCAAGTGATGTGACAATGCCCAGTGTCAGTTATGAATATGATTTCAGGGTGAAGATATGATATTTTGAGCTGATTCTCAGTGTCTCTGCTTTCAGAGCAACACAGAAGTCAAAAATTTATAGTTTTTGAAAAGCCCAAGACCTGAAACCTGCTCTGCTAAGACAGTGTTGTATTTTGCCAAGTGGGAGGAAAGGAAATTGGCTGTTTTGATAAACCTCACTTTCCTTTCCAACTTTCACTCTCCTTGCTAGACACTCAGTATCACCAACTGTTTGTCCTGGAGGGCAAACACTGTCCAGGAAAATATTGTTTTATTTATTTTTATCCTTGGAACCTTGTTTTGATCTCAGTTTGTGAATCCATGAAACTGAAACAAAGTGTGCCTGAGCTTTTCCCTGATGCTTTACAATGGGCTGTCAGCCTTACCAGCTTTTTTTCCAGGCTTGCTTTTTTGTTCTCATGTTCACTTTCTGTACAGCAAATATTAGAATTACATGTCCTAGTTCTTCTGTATTTTTCTTGGAAAGAATTGACAAGATCTGCAGAGGGCCTGAATAATGATATTAAATTGTGTGTTTGCCTAAACATGAGATTCCTCCGCATCCAAAATAGTGAAGATTGTGAGTCAAACAGGGAATAATAAAAGAGCACTAATCGAAAACTGGTATTTCGTGTGTCTTAATGGAGTAATGGCAAAATGACAAAAACTACGTTTGTTTTATTTTGTGGTAGACCTTGACGTGACAGTAGTCTAGGAAAAAAACCCCTAATTCTGTATTGCAATAATCCTTGTATTTTGAACTGAAAACAATCGCAGAGTTTCCTGTTGGCGATCTTGTTCAGCGGGAGGGCAGGCTCTCGCAGCTCAATGCTGGCATCTGAACGCTGGGGGATTTGGAAGGGAAGCTATCCCAGAAAATGCCAGTGTTTCGAAAGTGTTCTCGCTGCTGGACGCATGATGTGGAGCTAAGTGGCCCACTGGTTTCCACTGGTGCTTTTCTTTATGTTTCGATACAGTATTTGAAAAATGCATCTAACTGGCTGCTGTATATGTAGTGATCTGAAAGTTACAGTTTAATTCCTGATATCATGTCATTATAGCTTTAAAAAATCCAGTTGTTTCTAATTAAGTGGCCAGAAATGAACTCACCCACACCCCTGTATTGTTTGAGATTGTATTTACCGTCTCTCCCTATTATATTACAGTATTGCAGGCTTGGCAAGCCAACATTTGAGTTGGTATACATATTCATTGGATGATGTTTAGGTTGTCAAAAGCAGATGAAGGAAATGTGCTTAGTTGCTAATCATCTCTGTAATAAACTCTGTTCTGTTCTGTGCTCCGGAGTGCTCTCTGGGACTCGCTTAGCAGACTCCCTATCTGTGCTGAGACATAAATTACATTTTATTTTCCAATGGTGTGCTACTGCTTAGTAACATAATATTTGAAATCACTTTTCAATTCCATTTTGACCCCGTGAAGATGTTTCAGTGTGATTTATGTCGCTGGAGGAGCCTGGAAGAGAGGAGCAGCAGCAGACTATGTTACATAGCTGTCTGCTGGGTTTAAGGTGCTCACTGCAGCCGGCTTTTAAGCTTCCCAGGCTGTTGATCCTGGCTGCTAATTGTCTTTGGCTCATCTCTGTTTTACCTGTGCAGTTACACTGACATTCTGGTGAACTGTAGAGAGTTTTATCATGGGAAGCTTAAGCCTGGGGACTGAGGGGCGAAAGTGGATAGACTAATTCTTGCTGGTTGATGGCTGTTCCTGAGTTTACTGGAGAACATGGATTTGCACCCCTGACTTGAACATTCCCAGGCTTGTAATCCCTCTCCCATACTAGGGATGTCTCAGATCAAGGGAGCAGGATTGACTGAGGCACTTGGTATTTATCCTGGAGTAACGCAGATAGCAGTAAGACGAGAGAGAGGAGTTCGCTACTGGAAAAAATTAAAATCTGTTTTTATTTGCTTTTGTTATGAGCACTGTTTTGCCGCTCTCTCCAGGTCCCTTACTCTCTATGGAAAACTGTTTTACCTTACGACACTCTTGATCTGTCTGGCTCTTCACCCACCTGAGCTGTCAGCCCTTTGCTTTAGAAACAGTTTGGCCTGACTTTGTGTATTATTCTTAACACTTGCAAGCACTTGTAGTTAGCACCCACTTGAGTTATCGTGTACTTCACCACTGGACTGTTTAGCTGCTACTCCTGAGCGCAGTCTGGGAGGGTGTGTTGGTACTTTAGAGCCAACAACACAAAACAGTTAACACAGGGAGATGCTTTAAAGTGACAAGTAATCTCTGCTGTGTTTTGCTAACCTTATCTCGTCTTCCTCTGAATTCAAGCCCAGTGAACAGAAAATGTCCTGGATATTGGAATTCTTATGATGATATATGGGGCTGTTCAGCACATTCTCTCCCACTGCTGTTATTGTGGGAAACCAGGCATTTTGCTTCCCGTATCAAGGCACTATTCATAAGGCCTCAGACCAAGAGCGCTTAGAGTTAACTAGATCACAGTTTTATTTTTACTTTTACGGTTGCCTGAATTTGAAAGAAGATTGTGATTAAGAACTGCCCAGCAGTTGCAACCTTTATTTTGAAGTAGCCCTTGACATTCTTGGGTGCTGCACCCAATGCCAGTGGGAGCTTATGAGCATGCTGTCTGCTTTAGTTAAGTAGACCGTGTTTCAGGAAAAAAAGAGTGTTCATTCTGTTGTTGAATTAAGCATTCTTAGAGATGTCTCAGAAAGAAAAACTCATTTGCAGTTACTTTGCTTCCAAAAAGAGGGGGGGGAAGAAGTTTCTCATAGCAGCCTTTCAAATTCTCTGTAATTTGAAATCTTCTAATAAAATGATGAATACTTTTTCAAAGCGTCAGGTTTAGAGATATAAGGTAGTGATTTGCTCAGAAAACGTAAGAATGGATAAATACAGTATTCATGATAGTTCAATGTCTCTAGTATATGAGTATCAAAAGTGCTCAAAAGACTCATGGAAGACATAATACAAAATTACTGCAGTCTCTCAGGTCTACACGTGGTCTGAACTCAAGTGAGCCTTGATGGTGTTTTTTAATATCAATACTTTCATTTTTCTGTGTGTGTATACATATGTAGATAAAGCACTTTAAAACTTGTTTATCACAAAAAGAATTTAGTTGAAGGGAGAGGACACTTGGAGATACACCTGTGTTCTCTGACAATCCTTTGTGAAGCAAACAGCTGAAGAAAATTAAGGAAAATCTGCTCAGCTCCTCCTTTTGTTCTGTTCTGGGCATTTGGAGTTGGAATAGTTGCACAGGTTCTTTTAAGTTGGACTACACTCCTTTGGAGCACTGTCACACAGCAG